TGTGTAAATGAAGAGGAAGGCACTTAGATAAAAACGAAGTGTTTCTCTCATTGAAAACTGATGTGTATTTCCCCCCAACACACTGCAGCTATGGGGTAACCAGCTGTCCTGGGCTGCTCAGGACTAAAGGGCCCCCCAGGGCACAGGACTTTCCACTTTAAAACCAGGGAAGTCCTGGGCAAACTGGGAAACTTTGGTCACCCCACATAATAGGCACTTTACACCAAGTCAGAGGGTCAAATCGTTTCCTCTTTTTATGTAATGCCTGATTATCTTAGAAATAAGAAGTTCTGCAAAATTGAAAAGACTAGAAGGTGGCTGATGCAAACAAAGACTATATATTTCTTTAGGAAATAGGTAAAGAGGGCTGAGGGATTATTCTCTCAACTCTGTGAAGCTGTTACACTAAACTGGTAACTAGAAAAGAGAATGGTCTGTTTCAGGGTAGCTTTGCCGACCACCTGCTCAGACATTTTCCTGCTGCGGCCCTCTCTCTGACAGTCAGATACGCATCCCAGCGATCAGAATCAGCACTTACACTGACTCAGGTCTAGAGTTGCTATGACTCCAGAAAAGAGCACAAATACCTTTATACTAAAAAGAAGCTCCATCCACAGCTTAAATCAAATAACCACAATGCAGAGAGCTTCCTGCTTCATTTGCTTAATTGTTATGACTACAACAAAAATAGTGAGATTTTAAAAGCAGAAGTTCATTCAGAAGTGCACATATTTTAAAAAGCATTGCAGTAAGGAAAGATGTCTGCATATCACAGACTTACGTTTCTAACTATCCTTCTACCCATCCAAGGTACTTGCTCACCTGTTGGGCTGCCAGACAAAACCTGGACAAGCAAGGGGGGAACTGTCATTTAAGTCACCAGTTTTCTGTCTGTAGAGACTGAGATCTCATACCACCTTCAAGACACACTGTGCCCTTGATCAGGAACAAGCACCTTCAGGGGCCCTTCAATTATGGGAGGTAAAGAAGCACCCCCTTGTACTGAGGAGCAGAGTGTTTCTCGGTTGAGACATTGTCCAGTCTGTCCAGGAGCGAGCTGTGCGTCAGTGAACCAAGGCAAGCCTCAGCTCAGCCTGCTGGATGTGAGTCTGAGGGGTGAGAGAGAAATCCACCCTAACTTCCTGAGAAGCAAGCCTCACTTGTGCTGCAGTTGCTGCACTGTTCTCGAGTTCTGTTTGCACAGCCCCGTCGGGAAGCTCTGACTAGAAAGGGCACACAGGTGTGACTGAGATGGTAAGAGTACAGGTCACTGGCACTTACAGGGTCTCAGTCTTTGATGATAACACGCGGCTCTGGGTGAGATGTTTTGTCTGGTCAGGGGCAGATGGCCTCTGCAAACCAGTGAGAAAATGCAAGTGCTCTGGGGTGGGTAAGAAAGAAGATGACCCTGGCTTGTTGACTAGCCTGAGAAGCACTTTAACGAGCATGGCCTTCTCATAATGATCAATGACTAATCAAAATAATGATAGATATTAACAAGTGTAAAACCCAACAGTGTTAAATAATGACACCACTGTCACATGAAATGGACTTCCCCTCTCACAAGTGAAGTTTCTCTTGGGACATTCCATTCTCTGAGGAAAACCCCTTCCCCCTGCAGCCCCTTACCCAGATATTGTTAATGTCTTCAGATCTAGTTCAATTTGTTTTACAAAAAAGGGTGAAAAAAACAACAAAACTAACCAACACAGAGCTCTTCACTAGGGAGCACTCTAAAGGAGCATTGGCAGGTGGGCGTTAGGTTCTCTAAGGAGGGCTGCTTTGACCAGTCATTGCTCAGAGCTGGGGCTTCCCTTGCCATTTTCCCTGTCTTCACGTCTGGGCTGCCCCTGGCCCCTGCAGGCATTTGAAGAAGCAGAAGTGTGCCTCTAAAAGAGCAGCTGGCTGTGCAGGTGTAAATACAGACAGATGAGACCCTTGGACCAGGGATACTTAGGGACTATCCCACTCCACACTAGTTTGCAGGCCACGCGGTCACCTTAAATAAGGTTTTATGCAGATTTGGAGACCATGAACGTGGTACTATATAGAAGACAACTGACAAGGGCTCCTGGGTGTGTCTCTTTGTGCCCAGGCGAACTAGGGTAAGAAAGCAAGGCCCAAATTGTATCTTATATCAGTCCTATCAGACCTAAGTGAAAAAGATGATTATTCTACTGAGTCTAAAAATACATCAGTGGCTCAGATTTCAGCAGCTGTTTAAAGCTTGGATCACCAACCATGAACATTTTTTGTTTTGTTTTTAAACCATTAAAAGCTGTAAAGGACCTGTTTGTTATCTCTGGTAGACCTTCTTTGGCAGAGACGGGGAATTACATAGGTCAAATCAAACCATTCCAGACAAGGAAAACAACCAGAGCCAACCAACCTACAAGATGGATATTCATAAACCAGGAATGGTTTCTTAACCAAAGATCAAAGAACATGATGTCAGGGGCAGAGCTACCAAGAGGACTGGGCTCTGCCAACTGCAGCTGTGGCTGCGATCAAGGAGCAGAACACAGCAATAGATGACAACACTGTGTGCAAAGACTGACTGTCCCTCTCCCTCTCTCCCTTCCTCTCCTCTCCTTCTCCCCCCACACACCAGGGTATACTGCATCAGTTTAAAAAACAAAGGACAATAGAACTTTGGCCACTCCTAGATGAAAGAGCATCCCACATGGCAATTGAGTTGCTCTAGAAAAGTAAAGACAGGTAGACACAGTGTTGATGGAGTACCTGGCCTATAAAAAGGATGATTTCTGAACCTCATACCTGGACAAATGCAGCAACACCCCAGCTGTGTTTTCTTTCCTTCATGAACAAACATCTGACAGTTTCTGCAAGAACTGGTTTAGGTGCTGGATGCTAAAACCGGTGACAGTTGGCCCTGCCTGCCCTAATGAAGCTTACGACTTGGAAACTAGCTATACTGACAATACACAGGCATATGTGTTATAACCTGTAAGCTGACAATGGTGTCACCTTCCACCCAAGTTTTAGGAACCAGGGCTGTAATTTTCCCTTTGCCTGATCCTCTGCTCTATAATCTGCCTAATAACTCCATTCCTCCCAGACTGGCCTCACCCCTGCCAACCCTCCCAGAAATTCTACATGCTGACGACTTTATTGATTCCTGATGAAACGCCTGCCAGCATCTCTCCATTCACCTCCTCCCTGATCCTCCAACCTGTCTCTCTGCACCCCTGGCCCACCTAGATCTCCACTCTTCTTGCTCTTCTCTGATGCCACAGCTCCAGATTTCTGTGCTCTGAGATTTGAGCTCCCCAAACCTCTCAAGTGTAAAGAGGAAACAAGTTCATAATCTGAAGACTACTTGGAGGGCTGGAAGTTGGTGGCCATTAGGAGGTGAGGTCACTGAGGGGCCCATCCTCATGGTCAGGCTGCTGTGCATGGCCCAACAGTCCACTGGGTACCCTCTTTCTGGACAGTGCTGGAGAAACAGAAGGTGCTTTGTGCTTCCGATCTGGTAGTTCTAGACACCACCATTTTTCTCCTTCCCACAACTCATGAGTCTCCAGCTTTCGTTCACTTTCAGTCACGCTTTGGCTGCTCTCCATTTTGACTCCTTGTTCTTAATTTGTTCTTTTATTGGACAGTGTGACCCAAGAATTCTGCAAAGAACTAACATTATCTATTAGAGCAGACTTAACTGGTTATCAAGCGAGAAAAAGAAAGGGGGAAGGGATGACAGGGAGAACGAGAGAGATTTCATTTCTGTGCCCTATTGTACGAGTAACAGTGGCGGAAGGTACATTCGGCTCTCCAAGGGCTGAACACACTTCTGATTGTCGTTAGGGAGGGGAGGAGTGATACTATTAAAAAGTAGCAGAGGCCAGGAATACAGCTACATAGCCTACAGTGCACAGGACAGCCCCACAACAAAGAATCATCCAGCCCAAAATGTCAGCAGTGCTAAAGGTTGAGAACCTCTAGAGTACAGTATGTTCAAAAGGCCAAGGAAGATTACATATCTACTTCTTACTCGGGCAGAAGTTCACCTCAGTTCTCTGAAATCATCAGTGACACCCCTGGTGATTTGGCTGACTCTAATGGTTAAGCTTCTGCTTGTGGGATTTCACACACTCTCACCTTAAAGTTCAAAGAATTGCTCACTAACCAATTACCCTTAACCACGTGTGTAGCGACCGGCTGGCCCACATGACTAATAGACCATTTCTCACTAGACACAGACGAAGGCTTAATTATTCAGGAGTTGTTGCCAACGTCTGTGGTGTTTGGTGTGCTGACAGAAAGACGGCAGGGAGGAAAGCGGAAGTAAGAGTTGTGCATGGAGTGAAATTCCACGAGGCTCATCATGTCAAGTTTTAATGAGGATGCAAATAGGTACTCCCATAGATCTGAAGCACACCAGCTTTGGCTAGGAGCTTCCTTCCTTCCCTTCTCCCAACTTCAGGAGCTATAAAAGAGGGGAGGGAGGAAGGAGCTGGCAGGCGGCAGGCCATCGGGTGAGCAGGAGAAGTTCAGCTCTGAGGTGGACATATGGAAAGAGAGAAACCCGGGACGTGTTGCCAAATTGGATCAGACTCTTGCTTTTCTTTTTTAGTCATAGAAATGCAAGACTTGACAAACTGATCATTACTGTTATGATGGAGGGAGGTGGGGTGAGCTCTAGGATAGGATGGAGAGGAATGCAGGGAGATAGAGTCCTTTATGGGGAACCCCCACCACACGCAAAATAATAAATTTTAAAAATCTGACTCTTCTGACTTCTTCTGTTAATGGTCTCCTCTTTTCTCACTTAACCAAAAATAAAAATTGAGAACGTGACATCTAAAACAGAGAATCTGAGCATGTGGATCTTACAGAGCCACTCTGGGTGCGGACCAGAGCTCCAATCCTGACTGCTAGAAGTTAGCCGTGGCAGGCTCTGAACCTAGGAGAGACTTTAAGCAATGACCAGAACCGGAGAAATAGGTTTATAAGAACTGAATAGGAGACAGGACATGTTCCAAATGAATGACAAAAGAGAAACTGGGTATGGATTTGCCACTTACAGGCAAGTACCAACTTATGAACTGGTTGTGTTCTCGAAAGTTCAACTGGCTACTGGAAGCAACGGCAGCACAAGCAGAATGGAGGGAGACAGAAGTCGTTCGCCAACTGCTGGACAGGACCTTCGGAGATCACAGGCCAGCGCTTACACCGAGGACGGCAAGTCGATCATCTTGCCCAATACCACCCTGAGATTTAGGAACAAAGGTGCGTCTTGGGATTCCCCGGGCAGTCCGCTGACCGTGCTGTGCTGTCTCCAAGCAGGGAGCCAGTAAAAATGCTGGCGGTGAGGAGCAGAGGGGAGGAGGCGGGCTGCGGCGGCGGGGCGCAGGAGGGAGCACGGGCCGCAGGCGGGCGGCCTCCGGGCCTGGGAGCGCCCTGCGCCGGCACGTGGGGCTGGCACCTGCTGCTTCACGGAGGTGGCACACAGGGAGGGACACGGCCAAGGCGGAGCCTGCAGGCTCTTTCCAAAACGCCAGCGTTTCTCACGGCAGTTTTCTCAGCCCCCTGAAATGCGTTACTTTACTAAACAACTATTTACCAAACCCCATCTTGCGCCAAGCCACTGGCTACAGAAGTGAGTAAGCCAGGCAAGGTCCGGTTCCTCTGGAGGTTGCTTTCTAGGGAGACTGATAAAAACTCAGCCAACACATCGGATGTGTGACCCTCTAAGTGCTGTGAATACCGCAGGGTTAGCACGGCAGCGCCCGGAGAATGTCCTTTAGGCCGCAGGGCCGGGAAGGGCCTCGCCGA